ACTGAGGAGGAACTGAATTTGAGTGTCTGCTTAAGTGGGTTGGTGTAGTGTTTAGGTGTTTACTTAATGGCATCACCTCTAATTCCTCACGCCCCGGGAGGAAGTTTTTATTACCTATAGCTCCAGAGATATTAAGTATTGTCCGTGACCAAAAGACGCTAGAATATAGGGCCTGAGGTCCAAAACCATCTTGGCATTTCTTCCCCCCAGACCAGCCAAGCAGTCTGGAAATGTATGGTCAACACCAGGCAAGCTTGTCTGCGAGATCCCAGGTGAGAAGAGGGATCCATTTGTTTGCCACTTGCGCAGCTTTTGAGTCTTAGTTCATCTAGGTATTTGGATGACCCTGTCCGGACCCTGGGGTCCCCGCCTTCCTTTTTAAAAGCAAGTCTTTGTTGTCTTTTTCGGCCAAACTTTGGCTTCTGTACCTTGACCTGGAGCGGTAGCGTGGCTCTGTTTAGAACTACTTAGAGAAAATAGTGGGTTGGTTAGTAGCCTAAATCCAAGTCCCACAAGTGTAGCTAAGAGAGACTTTCCCCACACAGCCAGTGTATTCCCTCCCGCAACCCAGCCCGCCAGAGCCCGGGGGGTCAGACTGGAGCAGCCTGGGGCTGTCCCAGATGGTTGGCATTTGCCAGCAGTTTTTATACTTCAGCTGCTTCTGATTGCTTATGCGAAAAATAGAATTTTACAATGTTGATGGCCAAGGAAATATACAAAAGACACAGCCGATCTTGTCAAAGGTTTTGAAGGGTTCATGACTCACAGTCTCAATTTCTAGTTGATTTGTTCTGGTTTGGGAGGTACCAACGTTGCCCTCCTTTGGAATATTAGGAATGGGAGAAACCAGCCTCTGGTCTTTGGCAGTTTTTCTCTTCCCCTCTGGGCAAATGCATCTGTCTTTGCATTCCTCTTTCTGGTTTTCTTCCCTTGTCTTTATTCCTGGTATGTAGCTCCTTGGTCCCTTTTCTCCCTCACTGTGACTTGGAACCTCACTTTCCTTTCAAGAGGCCAGTTCCCCAGGAATCAGCCTCTGCCCATGACCCAAGAGCTGCCCTGTTTTATTTTACACTATCTGAAGGGAAGCAGAATAAGAGGGCCCCTTACTGACTCTGCCCTTCAAATCGTGGGGCTCTTTTTCCTTCCTAAGTGTTTAGGTTGTGCTGTTCCCAGAACTCAGCCATAATACAAGAGAGGTTTTGTTTCAAGCAGTGAGCTCTATAGACAAAAGATTCTTTGCTCTGTGGCAGCTGCAGGAGAAAATGTCGCATCGGCAACATTTTCTATGGACAGTTGTCAAGGGAACCCAAAGTCTGTGGGTGCAGCTGAAGGGAAGTTCAGAGGACAGAGGAATCTTCTCCTAAAGGCTTCTCATCTTTTTGTTTGTTCTTCTCTCCTTAGATGCTGATAGGTCTTGCTGGCTACCTGAGTGGATATGATGGTACCTTTTTGTTCCAGAAGCCTGGGGATAAATATGAGCATCACAGCTACATGGGAATGAGAGGAGTAAGGTTTCCTGACTTGATATGGACTGATTGAACCCTGGGGCCACACTAAATCAGAAATGTTAATAGTTAACAGCCCTGGAGTGGTGGCAGGTGTAAATACAGGGACTCTGGGTGGTGACGAGAGGGGAGGATGATCAGACCCTCCCCTGTGGTGTAGATAGTCAGAACTGAGGTGAGAAAGAAGGGAAGAGGAGGCCGCAGATAATACAGAGATGACATAGATAGGAGCAAGCACGCATTGTCACCTGCTGCCCTGCCCCGGTGTACTGTCAGACCTCAGGTTGGAGAACAGCCTGGAACCCGGGCAGTCAGGAGTCTCCTGCAGCCCCAGTGGTGCCTCCATGCACTGGCACGCTGCCTGCTCCTCCCCTCACAGGCACAGCTGCTGGAGTGTTATCTACATCTTGGAGCCTTTTCTGAAAATTTCAGCATGCCCACACCCTGTCACCATGTTCCTGTGTCTTTCCCAATGAAGGTTTCAGGCACACAGAATTTTCCAGCCTTATTTGAAGGGAGGCCAAATGTCTGCTCCAGTCCCTGTGTGTCCTAATTCACAGCACCAGCCTTGGTGGAACATGGCAGGGCCTTAACACCCAACTCTTGGGGAACCCCGAACGTGTGGCTGAATGAAGCCAGCAGAAGCTGACCTCCAGTGTGGACCTCTCAGAGAAGTTTGCATTTACAAGCCCCTTTCCTTGAGGATTTCATAGCATTTTAAATAAATGACTGTGTGCTTATTTGGCCTCATCATTAGATGATTTGCATGGCCATATTGTGGTATATTAAACAGGGAGTATGTCCTACCCTCAAGTTCATGTTCTTAAGTGATTCTGTGTCTTCCTAATAACTTTTGAACACCACGTGCCATATGTAATTGGATGTAACAACCAGACATAAGAATTTCCCATTATTCTGGCTTGTCTGTTTATTCTGATGGACAGGTAGGGGATGGAAGAGGGCTGGCAGCTTAAAAAAACAAAAAACCAAACAGGCATCTAGGTACTGAAGTATCAAGCAATCCCTTTTTCCAAAATCAAAATATGTACATTGTGTAGATTAAAGACTGGTTTCTGGTGTAAATGAAGAAAAGAACTAGGGGTTCCTTAAAATTCTCTGAAATACCTTCAGAGGGGTCTTTCTCAACTTGTACCTACAGTTGTGTAATAGAAGCTAATGGCTGTCAATTCCTATCTCTGTGTTAATAACACTCATTTTCTTCCCTTCTCTCTATTCCTGGTGTGTAGCTACTTGGTTGCTTTTCTCCCTCTCTCCTACCCACACCTTCCTGGCTGAACTCTGCTGATTTCATGTCAGTGTACAAGTTGCTGCTTAATGGGAACATACATATTGCTTGATTTGGCTCTTCACTATTACAATACTCTTTTCTTAGTTATAGATATCCTAGGTGACTTTAGGTCACCAAAGTCATGCCTTCATCAGGTCCCCTGTCTTAAATGTTAGGTTGTACTGAGTCCAGTAGGTCCCTGACCTAGCTCAGCTTGTTACTTGACAGCTTCTCTATTTCTCCCACAGTTCTGTGCATTCCTTGGCTCCTGGCTGGTCCCCTTTGCCTACCTCACTGTACTGGATCTGTCTAAGTCCCTCTCGGCAGCATTGCTCACCGCTGCCCTCCTCACCTTTGGTAAGTTGTCTTAGCCATGCCATGGCTTTTGGGAAATGGGCTGCCACTCTGTAAATGTAGCTGAAAATCAGTACGTTCAAGGGTCCTATCTGTGGGTCCAGTTCAATTAATTTTAGGATTGGGTAAAATGTACTACAAAGCTCATTCACTAGTAATACTTAATGTATATCAATGGTTATATATATAACAAGCCTTTATATTTTTGGAGGGGAGAATCGGTATGAGTAATCCCAAGGAATAGATTTACCTCCACGTTATTCACAATTGAGTTTGGAATGGGTAATAAGATAGATTTGTGAGTATGTTTGTTTTTGAAGGAAGCTTATAATTCTAATTTTGCTTCTCTTAGGTTAATATTAGTTTGCATTCCTAAACTAGTTTCAACTAAATGTAAAGGTAAATGCAGAAATAGCTGGGTGGCAAGAGATAGCAAAATGGGAACTTGGATAATAATCCTCATGTGGATAAATGAGAGTTCGTCGTAAAGGTTGATCCTGTTGCTAGCTTTGTTCCTATGAAAGTGAATTCATGACCTTGGGGAGCTTAACATTTAAAGAAATCTAGACCAATTTAAATGGGGTACTTTATGGGTTTGCTTTGACAGATATGTTGCTTTGTTTTGACAGATAGATTGCAAGATTATTGGCTTTCTCTATAGACGACTGGTGGCTTTTTCCTTGTATCTTGAATTTCCATCTTCAGTTATTCATTCATTTAGTCATTTATGCACTTTTCATTCAATAGTAATTTCTCAAGCACCTACCCTGCTCCCGGCCACTTTTCTCGGTCTCAGAGGGTACACCAATGAGGCACTCTGGTCTCATTGAGTTTACCCCATCATGGGCAGACAGTAAATAAACAAGTAAATGAATAAGTCTGTCATGTGATGTCCTAAGCCACAAGTGCAAGGTAGAAAATAAAGCAGGGTAAGGGATGGAATAATGGAGATCGTACTATTTTAGACAGGGTAGTCAGGAAAGAGCTTCTGAGAGGGGAGCTTTGAGCAGAGACCTGAGTGAGACAAAGGATCAAGCCCTGCAGAGATCTGAGGGAAGAGCATTCAGGCAGAGGGAAGTGCATGTACTGTAGTTCCGGTGCGGAGCTCTGTGGGTTCAAATCACAGTAAGAAGGCTGGCATGGTGAGGACAGAGTGAGTGAGGCAGAGGGTGCTGGGAGATGAGGTTGGATGGGTAGGGAGACCACACAGACTCTGGCAGTTGTCATGAGAACTTTTTACTTTGAGTGAGATTGGAAGACATTGGAGGGTTTAAGCAGGAGCATGACATAATGAGATTTAAGGATTTAAGTTAAAAAAGAAGATCATTCTGCCATCTGTCTGGAGAATCAACCACCAAGAGAGACTTCATGTAAAATGATAAGATTCTATCATAGGTGTAGATAGTTTGTGGTTACATGAGCAGTGGCAGGACTCCCTTTTTGATGGTGGAAATGAGGAAGAGAACTCGTCTCAGGGCTGGTCTGAGTGAGTGAATGACATGATCTTCTCTTGGGTTGAGGGCCTAGAGGCAGTGTGAGATACTGCTTCTTGTCATTGGGCTTTGATGTCTCCCAGAGCTGTGGCCTTCCACCTCCCCGATGACTCAGTGTTGATGTTGACTCTAGTCCTGACTGTACAAGTGCTTACACTCAATTAACTGGCAAGAGGGACTGTTTCCTACTGCTGGGGTGTTTGGTTTTCAGGTGGCCCTTCTCTTACCTCGCCTTTTCACCAGGGAGCTCATGTTTTTCAGACACGGGATGCCTCACTCTGTCCCAGTACATCCTCCTTGACCCCATCCTGATGTTCTTCATCATGGCTGCCATGCTGAGTATGGTCAAGTACAACTCCTGCGCCAACAGGTCAGAAACTCCATCCGCGGGAGGGGAGGGTCGGAAGCTGTGGCAGCTCCAGAACTTCTGTAATGGCCAGGGCCAGGGCGGATGCCCAGAGACTTGTCTTGAAGCTGAGCTTGAGGCAAGCATACGTTTTGTTTGTTTGTTTTTTAAACTTAGATTGTCCATTTTAGATCATAAAAATAGATTTTAAGAAGTTTTCTACAGATGATTTTATTTTTGCCATATTCAAGACTGAGAAAATGTCAGTTGTCTTTTTCAATCGTATTTTTATCATGTTTACAATGGAGTACAATTGGGTAGGGGTTTTGGGATGTTACGGAGGGATCCTAATGCTTTCCTCACCCGCCTCTCGTAACCAGTGCTGGTTAGGAGATGCCAGGACAGGCCTGGCCTTCACATACTCTGTCCTAGAAGGGAGGGCACCAGGGTAGACACTGCCTGGAAACTCTCTCCCTGCCCTCAGTGGTTGCATCCAGTCCTGACCTAATGATGGGAATAGCGTATATAAAGGTTGGTTTGAATGGCCCATACCAGCCAAGAGGATCCTTCCAGGTCCTGGTCAGTTCTAAAGCTGACCTGGAGGGTCCAGTCTACTTCCAGAATAGTCTTTTCCAGATCATCCTTCTACTTCTGAGAAAGTAGAATAGGTCATTCATTCTATTCAAACCAAAAGAGTTGGCCCCTCCTAGGCTTTTCTGGACGTTAACTTGGCACAGCCAGGCTCATTAAGCTCCATTGTGCTAATCAAACCCGATCAGTGACTCTCAGCCCACTCTGGCTTTGGGTGTTCTGGTTACGCCACATCCACTTCCATCTACCATTTCTTGAGTATACATACTGTGTGCCAGGTACTATGCTAGGAGCTGGATGTACAGAGCTCTGTTGGGCTTGGCTGTTAAGGAATATTCGCTCTGGCGGAGAAGGCAGCCAGAGAGCCAGAGAATCACAGCGTAGAGTACTAGGTGCTATACAAACAGCAAAATGGTCAGGAGCACTAACTTTGACCCAACTGCCTGGGTTAAAACTGTGTCCCACTGCCTGCTAGCTGTATTACTCCACCTCTTTGTCTCTTGATTTCCTCCTGTGCAAAAAGAGGACCTAGTGACATACGATCTGCTGTGGGCTATAGTGACAGCTAGAAGAATTAATGTATGTATTATACTTGGAATGGTGCCTGACACATAGTAAGCACTCAGTAAATGCTGCCTTCGACAGGGGCAGAGGTGACACAAAGGAGAGGGCTGCCTGAGTCCAGGAGCACCTAAGGATTCTCCTTTCACTCCTGCCTGACCGGTCACTCGTGAAGAAGGAGCCCCCACTTACCCTGAGCCCTGTACTTAGCCAGGAGCACTATGGACACTCTCCCCAGAAAAATAGCCTGCGTGCTCAGACTGTGGTTTGCCTGCCGTTCCAGAGCTTTCACAGACCGCCTCCTCCCTGGAGCCACACCATGGTCCCTTGAGGCTAAGAGCCCCCAAGACAGGGCACAGCACAGCCTCTCCAAGTCTGAGAACTGCCCTGTGCCCTGCTGCGCTTGCGTTTTCCTTTGGTTCCAGCTGCCAAATTGAACTCTGTCTTGTTGATTTTCAGGCCCTTCTCTGCCCCCTGGTGGTTCTGGCTCAGCCTGACTGGTGTTAGTCTTGCTGGTGCTTTAGGGGTCAAGTTTGTTGGCCTCTTTATCATCCTTCAAGTGGGGCTGAACACCATTGCAGACCTTTGGTACCTGTTTGGAGACCTCAGTCTTTCATTGGTGAGCACCCAAGCGTTTGCCGTGGAAATGTTTTTGCTCCCTGATGTTGCTGAGTAGGAGCCAGTGGCCTTCTCTGTCTCTGCTGCAGGCGGCAGAGTGGCTGTGTTCTGGGTCCCAGGTGGGCTGGACCCCCAACCCTCCGCAGACAGCGGGACATCAAGGAGTGGGCCTGGCTGAGGATTGGATAGGGTGCAAGGGAGACGATGGATTAACATTCTTGGAAGTCTCCTTTTGCATTTGTTTTGTAATGTCTGCCTTTTTTTTTTTTTTTTTTTTTTTCCTCTCTTTGAGATGGAGTTTTGCTCTGTTACCCAGACTGGAGTGCAGTGGCTGATCTCGGCTCACTGCAACCTCCGCCTCCTGGGCTCAAGTGATTCTCTTGCCTCAGCCTCCCAAGCAGCTGGGATTACAGGCACATGCCACCATGCCCAGCTAATTTTTGTAGTTTTAGTAGAGATGGGGTTCTACTGTGTTGGCCAGGTTGTTCTCAAACTCCTGACCTCAAGGGATCCACCCGCCTCAGCCTCCCAAAGTGCGGGGATTACACGCTTGAGCCACCGAGCCTGGTCTGAACTCACAATTTTCATTTCCTGACCCACAGCCTCCATATTTGGAGGCCAGTAAGGGCCTTTACGGTTTATTATTTATTAAGGGCTGATTCTATGCCAGGCACTATGTGAAATGCTTTACCTCCATTATCTCATTTACCCCTCATAATAGTCCTATGAGGTGGGGAGTTATTACCCTGATTTTCAAATGAGGAAATGAAGACCTACAGAGGTAATGACTTCCCCAAGGCCATGGGGAGTGAGAGGTGTATCTAGGAGTCACACCCAGGTTAGGTTGGCCCCAGGCCATCACTCTGCTGTGGTGCTGCTCCATCACCTCCGAACCAACTCCTAACAAGTTTATTCACTTATTCATTCATTCATTCAGACAATATGTGAAGACCATCCACTGTGTGAGGCGCTGGAATATACAGATGAATGTAATATAGTCCCCATCCTCTGGGGTCAATGGAGAGAGAGAAATAAGGAAGCAGGCAGTTATAGTCAGCCAGGCGTGCTGGGAGAGCACAGAAAAGGGCACTAGGCCAGTCCCAGGCAATCCAGGAAGGCCTCTGGGAGGAAGCTGGGAAGATAAGGAGCCATTAGCCATGTGATGGGTTGGGCTGGGACAGCAGAGGAAGCACTGGGAAAGTACAAGGAGGTCAGTGTCCCTGGAACATGGAGGGGACTGGTGAGCAGCTATGTTGCAGATGCAGGCAGTGCCTTGTCCTTGGCACAGTGACAGGCTAGGGTCTTGGGTGTAGAGCCTGGAGAAGTAGCAGAGGGCTGGCCCATGTTTATCTTGTGTAGTGCTTGGGTGGTGGGTGTTATAGAAAGGCTTAGGGTTTCCACATATTCTCCTCTCCTCTTGGCCATTTTTTATGATTATGACTTACACATTAAAATCTATATATAATGCATGCATAGTGCATAAGGAATAATGAGGTCTCACATGCCTGGCACCCCCCGCTGGCCTCTGTTTGCAGGTGACTGTGGGAAAACACCTGACTGCTCGTGTCCTGTGCCTCATAGTGCTGCCCCTGGCTCTCTACACAGCCACCTTTGCTGTTCACTTCATGGTGCTGAGTAAAAGGTACGGACAGAGCCTTTGCAGCGTCTTGCTTCTGGTTTTCCTTTTGCCCTTAAGCCTGTGGAGGGGCTGGGTGATGTTCTGGGTCTGTGGTTAAAATGATAGGAGAGGGACCCAGGGGCTTTTTCCTGTTTCTTTCCCGCTATATTCTATCCTTTGGGTATGCTAAGGGCTCAGAAAGGCAGCACCCTAACCTGAAGGAAGAAGCTATTTTCCTTATAGCCAAATTGTCCCTTATCTCTAAACAGAGTCCCCTGTACTTAGCAGGGATAGGCAACAATAAGATGTGCAGTAGGAGTGAGGGTAACAATAGCAATAACACCAGCAGCAACAGCTCCCACTTCATGAGTAGCTACTGAGAATTAGGAACTGTGTTCTGCATTTTGTGTACATTATCTCATTTAATCACAATCACTTCTCTGGGTTTCTTTAAATCTCTAGTTTATAAATGAGGAACTAAGGCTAAACAGGGTTGTCTTGCCCAAGGTCACACAGCTAGTAAGTGGCTGAGTTGGGATTTGGACCCCAATTTCTCCAACTCCATCACCCACCTCTGTCCCATGATCTGATTCTAATTCCCTTAAACTAACTGAGCAGAGCTTTTCCCAGCGCTCCTGGGAAATCACATTTTCACTCCTTTAACTTGGCTCTGTTCTGCTCTTTCTCTTCCCACAGTGGCCCTGGTGACGGTTTCTTCAGTTCTGCCTTCCAGGCCCGGCTTTCAGGGAACAACCTGCACAATGCTTCCATCCCTGAACGTGAGTGTCTCTGGGCCTTTACAAAGGTAGATGGCAGAGGGGCTTCCTGGGAGTTGAATTGGAAAAGACGAATGTGATGGCTTGGGTTATTTTAGCCTGGGATGGCACGGTGGGAGAAAGACCCAGTTAGATCTAGTAAAAATACTCAAGAGTGAATCAGGACAGAGGAGAGGAAGACATCCTGAGCAGCAAGCTCTGTGACCCTAAAGAATGACTTCTCCTGTGTGGCTGTCCAAGCCAGCTCTGAGGGAAGGTCACTCAGAGAGAATCTGGTAACAGCACCCGGCCCTTCAGAGCCAGTTGTCAGTTTCCCGCACCGCTTTCTGAGTGTTGCGTCCATTCGCCTACGACAGATGGTAGTGGAGTGTGTGCTCACCCTCCAGAGATGGAGCCTGGTGTAGGGGAGCTCCACACGGTGTGACTGGAAGCGTTAAGTACATAAAGAGGGAGCACAGCTCTGGGGATTCACAGGCGTGAAGGAGCACGGCTGCTGGGTGGTTGAGGGCATCAAAGGCACATGATGTGGGTTGCCTTGGAGTCAGGCCCTGGAAGGATGTGTGGCTTTCAACAGATAGAGGAGAGGGCATCTCAGACAGGAGGGATGACATGATCAAAGCCGAGGACAGAAGAAAAACCCCTCCAAGCACCAGGTATGTGCAGGAAAACTACTGGAAGATAAATGGTGGCAAAAGTTAGGTGGGCCCAGACCTATGAGGGTTTGAGGTGTCCTGGATGAAGTTATTTGACCTTCCTTAACACAGGCCGTCCAGACCTAGTGGAGGTCTTTGACGCCAGGAGGCCCCCGGAAGGCTGTGCTGTAGGAAGATACATGGGTGGGGAGTCGAGGCTGGCTGCGGGGAGGGGACAGGTTGCCAGCAGGAGAAAGCCCTGGGAAGCCATTGCAGGGCCTGAGCTGACATGGTGGGGCAGCCACCAGGGTAAGGCAGATGGCATACTGTAAGGGGGAATCTGGACATACAAGACGGATAGAAGAGAATGCCACTAAGCGACCCTTGAGGTGCAGGGTGATGCTTCCTGGAGGCAAGAGACTGCGTCTTAACCATTCTAGTCCTTTCCAGGGCCACGTTCACAGTCCTAAAATCAGCCAGACCCTCGTCCCAGGCTGGAAGCAATGAAGAAATAGGGAACCAGGAAGAAAGAAGTTGATGGAAGAGCAGATACTCGGAATTCCCACACTACGAGGCTTGAATGGACTGCTTGGGAATTTGGTCCATAGGGCCCAGTGGTCTTTGGGGCTTGAATGCCTTCAAAGAGATCAGCCAAGTCAAAGGTAATTGATGCGTAGCAGGTAGCTGTGGATTGTAAGCGAAACTGTAGGAAGAGGAAAAGAAGAGGCCCTGAGTCAGAGCACTGGGAATTGCAAGCGAGGAGGAATTAGGAGAGAAGGGCCGGAGGACACACCAACCTTGCAGGAGCGTGTTGGCGAGAAGCGAACAGACCAGCCCATTCTCACGAAATAACAGGTGGTCCCAGATCCGTGTGTGGGCCGCTGAAGGTTGGCCGCCTGACTCACAAGAACACCACGCACCCCACAACTGTGAGTTAGCAAATTCCCTGCCTCACTTATTCAACGGCCTAGCCGAAGCTGTCATCCTCTCAATCGAGTCGCCGCTTCTTTCACTCCGGGAAGAATTCTGTCCTGGTCCAGAGTCACTTCATGCACACATGCAATGCACGCCCTTGTGGGGCACTTGCCCACCGTCTCTGTAACTTGTCCAGTGTGTGAAGCTTGGTAGACGGCGCTCTCCAGGGCCACAGGCAGGCCTCCTCCACCTTGGAATCCACGTGTAATCAATACATTCTTCTAGTCCACCTGAACTCAGAACCAACAGAGTGGTCATTCCCAGTGGATTGGAAAACCCGGGCCCATATTAAGGAAAGAGAGCTCTCAATAACCAGCGACCTATAGAGGAAGGGGGATGCTCTTGGGAAGTGGTTTTCTGGTGTTTTGTTTTTCTAATTCAAGTAACACACAAAACACCATTGAACCATATGGTACTCAGAATCAAAAGGCACAAAATATAAGTGATAAAAAACCGGTTTTGTCCAAATGTGTATCTGGACGAATGTTCCAGGCAAAGACAGAAAAATGCTTCCCTCATTCCCAATTATCCATGTAGAGCCCCTCTCGAGAAGACAAGTTGTTTTTCATAATTTGCTGTTAACCACAATGGTGCTTTGATAATGACAAGTGGTAACACCCAGCCGCCTTTCTGAAAGTCTCAAGGGGGAGGGGAGTAAGGGGACCCTGTGGAACTCTGTCTTGAGTCGGCTCGTCGGGAGTGGACGAAGGGCCAGCGGGCTTCAAGTCTGGGGCCCAGGGGAGTCTTCGCAGAGGTTAGTGAGCCCATGGTGGCTCCGAGCTCTCGCAGGCAGGGCCGGCCCTGCCAGCACTGCTGGGCAGCCCTCACCCCTCTGCTGTCCTCCTCCTCCAACGTGGCCTACCCTGTGATTACTGTGAAGACCCCGAATGGCCCATCGCCTTCTGCACTCCCACAGGCAACCTCCTACCCGAGGCATTGGGCCCTGTCAGCGCAGGTCAGTGGGAGCCTTTGGTGCACTTGTACGACAGCAGTGCCTGTTCACCATAAACAGTTCACTTCTCTTGCCTCCTGTCCTTGCCCCTTATCCCATTCCCTGGCTTGAAAACATTCTTCCTAGCCCTGCACCCTTCTCTTTCCCTCTGGCTAACCCCCAGGCACAGCATAGGTAACTTCAGTGACCACCCGCGTTCCCACCCCTCCTCCATGGTACTGGGTGGGTGCCCTCTGAATGAGAGGCTTGATGGCAACCTCCACATGCTACGTGGTAAAACCTTCCAATATTGACGTGCCGTGCTTTACTTCCTGCCCGTCTCCTTGGTACTAGCTCCTGGAAAGAAATTGCTAGCTCCGGGGAAGCTCAATGCCTAGCACCAGTGCCTGCAATGGATGGGTGATGAAGTAAAGTGTGTAGCTTTATGAACACCAGACCTGGGAACCAGACTAGTTAACTTGGGTGTGAAGCCTGCTTTCATATAGAGTGTCACTTTGGACAAATTCATCTCTTGTGCTTCAGTACCCTCTTCTTTTTTTTTTTTTTTTTTTTGAGACAGAGTTCCTCTGTCCCAGGCCTGGAGTGCGGTGGCGCGATCTCAGCTCACTGCAAGCTCCGCCTCCCGGGTTCACGCCATTCTTCTGCCTCAGCCTCCTGAGTAGCTGGGACTACAGGCGCCCGCCACCTTGCCCGGCTAATTTTTTTGTATTTTTAGTAGAGATGGGGTTTCACCGTGTTAGCCAGGGTGATCTTGATCTCCTGACCTCGTGATCTGCCCACCTTGGCCTCCCAAAGTACTGGGATTACAGGTGTGAGCCACCGCACCTGGCCTGTATCCTCTTCTTTAAGTTGGGGAAAATAAGTAGTACCTCTCTCCATTGTAGGGCAGTTGTGAGGATTAAATGAGATAACAATGTGAAGTGCTTATGAGAGACTAGCCATGTGAGTATCATCTGAATGAGTGAGCGACGCTGTGAAGGAGTGTTCGTGTGCCTGCAGTGTATGGTGCCTGAGAGGGAGAAGCAGGATGCTGAAGAGGTTGGTGGGGCCATATTGGGGAGAGGCCTGTGTTATAGTAGATTTGACTTTGCTCCGTAGACATTAGGGAGGCAATAAAAATTATTATGATTATGATTAGATCTCTAGTTTAGAAAGATAACTTTAGTGGGAATGTGATAGCTCACAGGGAACCAGTTTGGAGGCAATAATTATGACAAAGGACAGTGAACAGAGGGAAAAAGCATGGAATCTTTACAAAGATTTGTACTTTGCAAAAAGTTGTGCCTCTCCAAATGCTTTGTTTTTATTTCCCTTTTAGTTGCTAGAAAGTGACAAGGGTGTAGTAGTTCGATTTCATGCTGCTGATAAAGACATACCTGAGACTGGGCAATTTACAAAAAAGAGGTCTAATTGGACTTACAGTTCCACGTGGCTAGGGAGGCCTCACAACCCTGGTGGAAGGCAAGGAGGAGCAAGTCACATCTTATGTGGATGGCGGCAGCCAAAGAGAGAGCTTGTGCAGAGAAAATCCTGTTTTTAAAACCATCAGATCTCTGGCCAGGTGCAGTGGCTTATGCCTGTAATCACAGCACTTTGGGAGGCTGAGGTGGGCAGATCACATTAGGTCAGGAGTTTGAGACCAGCCTGGCCAATACGGTGAAACCCCATCTCTCTTAAAAATACAAAAAAATTACCCGGGCTTGGTGGCACCCGCCAGTAATGCCAGCTACTCAGGAGACTGAGACAGGAGAATCACTTGAACCGGGCAGGTGGAGGTTGCAGTGATCTGAGATTGCGCCACTGCATTCTAGCCCGGGTGAAAGAGCGAGACTGTGTCTCAAAAAAATAAAAAAAATAAAACCATCAGATCTCGTGAGATCCATTCACTACCACGAGAACAGCACAGAAAAGACCCGGCCTCATGATTCAGTCATCTCCCACCGGGTCCCTCCCACAACACATGGGAATTATGGGAGCTACAAGATGAAAATTGGGTGGGGACATAGAGCCAAACCATATTACAGGGTATTGGGTTTTAGTGTCAGTTTCTTATCCTTAATTCTCCATTCATGTCTGACCCAGTGGTTTTCAGCCCTGGCTGCACTTAGAATCAACGGAGAGATTTTTAAAAATTCTGATGCCTAGACTCTACTGCAGAGATGATGATTTCATTGATCTAGGATGAGGCCCATGCGTTATGCATTTTTGGTTTGGTTTTAAGCTGTCCAGATGATTCTAAGTCATGTACACCCAGGGCAGAGACAACTAGCTGTACTGTGTTCTCATGTGGTGATAAATTGCTGCAGGTGTCATGTAGAAGACACTACAGTTACAGACGTGGTGACCAGAACGTCTACACTGTGCAAAGGGAGAGAAAGGCCAAACTCCGAAAGACTCTGTTAAGCTAGTGTTACATACTTAGAGCCCATGTGTGGAGGTGTGAGACGTGATGGTGGTATAGGGAAAGTACATAGGACCAAGGGACAAAAGTGTCTGGCTTTGTCATTGACCAGATCACTTAGCCTTTCAGTCTGTTTCCTCATCTGTAAATTGAGGGGATTGGACTAAATAATTACCTCCAGTGGCCCTTCCTGCCCTGCAGTTTAATGTCTTGTTAACAGGTCTAGATCTCTATTTTAGAATATTTTTAAAGCATAGCATTTATAAAATTGGAAAATATAGAAAAGTATGAAAAAGAAAACAAAAACGACATGTAATCCCAGAAGATTAAGTGTTTATCTAAATGTTTTAACGTACAACATTCCGCTATAATTGGATACCTGTGTTCTTAGGAAATCTCATGGTATAAAAATCTCCATTGTCAAAACAAACATTTCAATGGGAAAAGGGGCCATGGACTGTACTCATGATAAAGAAATAATTTTTCTTGTAGGAATTTTAATCGTAATTGCTGTTGTAAAACAGACACACAAAGACTGCTCTGCTACCACACATCTACACATTGTAAAACAGACACTCAAACACTACTCTCCTACCACACATCTACACAGAGTACACACATGAGCATCATAGAACCTTAACTTCCTTGAGCAAATCCAGGCTGGATGGACGATATCGAACTTTTTCTCAGGAATGTAGAATTCATTTTAATTTCTTTATGAGCACCAAAACTTTTTAGCTTCTTGTGTATCCTTAATACCATTATCCCTAAGTTTTTTTTTTTTCCTGAGGAATGAAGCAAATACCACTCAAAAGAAGCAGCCATAATGCAGGCAAAATAATTTTTCCCCTCAATGCTAATTCTGAATCTCGTTGTAAGTACAGTCGTGCATCGGGGGGATACCATCTGAGAAATAGGTCATTAGGTGATTTGATCGTTAGGTCAACATCGTAGTATGTACTTACACAAACCTAGGTGGTACAGCCTACCACACACTTAAGCTACATGGTATAGCTAATTGCTCCTAGACTACAAACCTGTATAGCATGGTACTGTACTGAACACTCCAGGCAGTTGGAACACAGTGGAACACAATGGTAAGTATTTGTATTAACTTAAACATATCTAAACATGGAAATGGTGTAGTAAAAATATGGTATTATAATCTTATGGGACAACCATCATATATGCAGTTGGTTGTTGACCAAAATGTCTTTATGTGGCATATGACTATAAATTGGTCATATTTTGTCCAGTTGGGGTTATAAAAACTCATTTGTAAGAGTTCTCTACTTGTTTACATAATTGGCATAATTGAATGTATCTAGTCTCTATCCTGGGAGCATTTATTTAGCTGCTCTGGTTTGAATTCTGTCTCCCCAACTCATGAGCTGTGTGACCTTGAGCAAATTACTTAACGTCAGTTTCCTTGTAAGTAATGTGGGGATAACCGTACTACGGCATAGAGCTGTAATGATGGTTAAATGAGAGAAGACTTGCCCAGGCAGGAGCGGTGGCTCACGCCTGTAAGGTGGGCAGATCTTGTACAAGGTCAGGAGATCAAGGCCATCCTGGCTAACACGGCAAAACCCCATCTCTACTTAAAAAAAAAAAAAAAAAAATCAGCCCAGCACAGTGCCTCGCGCCTGTAATCCCAGCACTTTGGGAGGCCAAGGCGGGCAGATCACGAGGTCAGGAGATCGAGACCATCCTGGCTAACACGGTGAAACCCCGTCTCTACTAAAAGTACAAAAAATTAGCCAGGCGTGGTGGCGGGCGCCTGTAGTCCCAGCTACTCAGGAGGCTGAGGCAGGAGAATGACATGAACCCAGGAGGCAGAGCTTGCAGTGAGCCAAGATTGTGCCACTGTATTCCAGCCTGGGCAACAGGGCGAGACTCCATCTCAAAAAAAAAAAAAAAAAAGACTTGCCCAATGCTTAGAACAGTGCCTGGTAATAAATGGTAGCCATTTTCAGCATCAGCGTTTCATGAGTCTTCTCCCATGTTGCTAAAAAAATGCTCTGAAACATTTTTTATGGCTGTATAATATTCTATCCCAGGACATACTATCATGTTAACTATTTTTCTGTTACTAGACAATCATACTGTTTCCAGATTTTTTGTATAAAATGTGAGTTAAATTCTAGGAGAGGATATCTGTGGAGCTTTTTAGTTTCATTTGGCCACATTATAGAAAATATAATAGCATGAATTTTTCATTTAGAAAGTTTGAGGCATGATCTTAATTACTTTTTTTTTTTCTAGATGGAGTCTTGCTCTGTTGCCCAGGCTGTAGTGCAGTGGTGTGATCTTGGCTCACCGCAACCTCCACCTCCTGGGTTCAAGCGATTCTCTTGCCTTAACCTCCCGAGTAGTAGGGATTACAGGCGTATACCACACCCAGCTAATTTTTGTATTTTTAGTGAAGACGGGGTTTTACCATGTTGGCCAGGCTGATCTCAAACTCCTGACCTCAGGTGATATGCCCACCCCGGCTTCTCAAAGTGCTGGGATTACAGGCATGAGCCACCACGCCCGGCTTTAATTACTTTGAAAATGCACTTAAATACTCATTTTGTTTTTGTGCTGAAGTCGATTATATAAGGCCTCATGGTTCCTCCCTCTAGAAGGCTGGATAGAACTTTTAGGACAAGATGCAGAAAGATACAAAGAGACAAAAAGGCTCTTGTGGGACAAGGCCTCTAAATGCAGAAGGAAGGAGAGAATTTCACTCACCAATGCTACATCTGAGCCCCATTGGGAAACATGACCCCTCAGGTTGGTGGCTAGGGATTCTGAAATTGGCTTAAGCAATGTTGGTTTGATGTTGATTGTTCTTGGCCAGCTGTGCTGATAGTGATGGTATTCTCCCTCCTGCCTCCTCTTCCCTCCGCTCCCACCCCCTACCCAGGTCACCACCTATTTGCACAAGGACTACAACAACCTGTGGATTATCAAGAAACATAACACAAATTCAGGTAATGTGGTCAGAGACTGATGCTTCTTGTGCTGTTACTCTCTCTGAGCCCTCCTTAAGATTTCTCATGCCTGCAAAAGAATGATCCTGAGGTGGGCTTTGCTAACCATCTTTGACACCTTTACTTATCTCAATTATCCTTTTGATTATTATTTATTAAGCACCTACTGTGTTCCAAGCACTGTTGTTGGCATAGGGGATAAGCATTGAACAAAACAGGTAAGAACTTGCTCTTAGAGCTGTCATTTTGAAGACAGATAGCAGAGCCCAGATTTAATCCAAGTAGAGGTTACTTGAGCATGCCACTGGGGGCTGGTGAGTGGCCCCAGCTGAGGGCACCTGGCTGCTGCTCTCATTTCTGACATAGAGCACACCAAACATTGCACACTGTAGCATGTGGTGCGGCTCAAGTTGTCTTGATAAGATAGAATTCTGCCCACTGCTCAGCCCTGGCCTGAGTCAGTCAGTTGGAGATCTGAGGGGCTGCTAGTCCTGTGACTGGAATTTGTCTAGACTAATTCCTGGGATGTGACTCAATGCCTGCTGATCTGTTCCCAACTGGCCTGGGTGAAGTAACTCTGCAGCACACCTATCGGGCTCTCAGGGCTTTATGACAAGAGTAAGACTAGAGCCAGATCTTCCTTTCTTTGGTCAGACAGCTAGCTACCTGCAGGCTGTGCCTCTGCTGCAGCTGAGGAGAGAACAGAGGGCATCTAACACTCACCTTCTGAGCCTGTCATCTCTGCTGATGGTCTTGTGCCACAGGTACCTCTGTGACTCCTCAGCAAATCCCACCTGGCTTAGCCTATCCCAGCTTAGCTGCTCCTGGGCCTTTGTGGAGAAATGGGCAGCTACTCACCTAAATCCACCTCCTGTTATTGCCATGTAGGCTAGAAACGTGGTGTATACAACCACTTTGCATTCTGCTCCTTAGTAGGATAAATTATGACACCATTGGGCAGAGTCTGTTTCTATACCTTTATAATGGATATTAATTGATTCAACAGGCCAAATGTGAGTGTTCTATCGCAGTGAGGAGTTACGAGGGAAGACCAGTTTTACTTCCATCGCGTGATCATGAACCGAGTCTTTGACATTCCTAGTCTGTTATTCTATTGTGACTTCTGAGTTAAGATGGTTGCATTTCATCGAAATGATTAAGGATTTTGTGGGAGCTTTATAGACTAGGGTCTTTTTGTTCTTGACGGCTATAAATGCCCCTCCCCACCAAATGCATATGAAATAAAGCCTCACTCCCTATTGACTTATTTGATTTGTCATCTTGCTAATTAATGCTTTTAAGAGACCCTAACAGGCAGCATGGAAATGGGCACCTCTTCAGTTGAGTTATCTGATTCTCTCGAGAGCCAGTGATTTGCACTGGCAAATTTATCTTTCCTGACCTTGGTCTATTTATAGTGTGTTGGTATCTCACTGTTTGGGACAGAAATTTGCAAGGATCCATTCTGTGTTGCTATGATTACTGCCAGCTCCTTTTCCATGTCATCACCTTTCTAGATCCTGATTGGTCTTGACTTTGAGATGATACAGAAGTAGTCCCTTAATCATTTCGTCATTCTTCGCCTCACATTTAGCAAGTTTATTGCCAAAGACAAGATACTTGCTGGCACAATTGTCAGGGTTTATTTGATTTTGAGGAGAGTTGGGCAAGTGGTCATTTGTATGGAATTACTTTTTAGAAGACTATTATTACTACTAAAGTCTTATTATTCCCAGCTTAAGCTCCAGTGGGGCTTCAGTGCCTATTGGGTAAAGGCCACATTCCTGCCTGGAATATGCAGTCTGGCCGCACTCGTTCATAGCCTCATCTGTTCCCACTCTCCCCCACCCCACCCACCCTTACGGTATGAAACCCATTTGCTATTCATCAAAGGAGTTTTTCTTCTTCTTCTTCTTCTTTTTTTTTTTTTGGAGACAAAGTCTTGCTCTGTCACCCAGGCTGGAATGTAGTGGCACAATCTCGGCTCACTGCAACCTCCGCCTCCCGGGTTCAAGCAATTCTCCTGCCTCAGCCTCTCGAGTGGCTGGAACTACAGGTGTGCGCCACCACGCCTGGCTATTTTTTGTATTTTTAGTAGAGATGGGGTTTCACCATGTCCTGACCTCAGGTGATCTGCCCGCCTCAGTCTCCCAAAGGGCTAGGATTACAGGCGTGAGCCACTGTGCCCGGCCAGAAGTTTTCTTCTTTCACACTTCTAGTGCCTTTTCCCCGCTTGTCCACCTGACAAAATCCTCCCTTTCCTTTAGGAGACTTTCGAAGCATTGTCTCTGGGACAGCCTTCTCTAGTCCCCCAAGACAATTTAGGGGTCCTTCCTGTCTGGTCTGAGAGTACCTGGTTATACCTCTAGCAGACACCACATGGTACTGTAACCCTTTACCAGTCAGCCCTTGATTAATACTAGCCTGGTAAGTGATTTTGGATATCAATCCTTGTTTATTTTTGGCAGATCCCCTAGACCCTTCCTTCCCAGTGGAGTTTGTAAGACATGGAGACATTATTCGACTAGAACACAAAGAGTAAGTCTATTTGCATACCATAAATAAATGGTATGGGCACCAAGGGGAGGCAGTTATTTTAAGAAGTAAACAGAAGTTAGATTTTGATAAGGCTCTGGTCAATGGAGCAAGGCTGCAGTGCGAGAATAGGAGAAGCATTTTATGAAGGTGATGAAATTGCAGGCCAGCCTTTGCCCCTGCCTACTGGGGACCTTTCAGTTTCCCATTTCTTAGAGGAAAATTTGAGTTGCCCAAGGCTGCTGCTGCTTTTTTTTTGAGACAGAGTCTCACTATGTTACCCAGGCTGGCCTCAGAGTCCTGGGCTCAAGCGATCCTCCCGCTTCAGCCTCCCAAATGGTTGCTATTACAGGCATGAGCCATCACACCCGGCTCCCAAAGCTGCTTCTTAAGTGGCTGCCTTTAGAAAGATGTAGGAGTCTGTTTCTGAGAATATGGCAAGCTAGCTTATTTAACCAGTGTTCTCACTGAAAATGACTAAAAATGCTGGAATAATATAAAGACTTCTTAAGAGCATAAAAAGGCTGACAAGATATTAAAGAGTTACCAGGCCAAAACCTAAGTGAAATGAGGAATCCAGAGAAATAAGTGAGACACTGAAGCCACTTTTGCTTTGATCCCACAATCTTGACTTTTGGCTGCCTCCTGAGAGAAGAGGTTTTAAAGTCAAACCTCTAGGCTCACCCAAAGTGGTAAATTTATTAAGTTATCCTTCCCCGTATTTGGAACCCCCAAAGGCTTAGGGTAAGGGTAAATCTGCCCTATGCACCTGTGCCCAGGAAAAATTACTTTAGGACCCAGCTAAGTGTTGGGGGTTGGGTAGTGAACTATCCTTAGTTCCTGAGAAGTTGGAACTACCATTTGATCCTCACATGAACTTGGGGCTCAAATTCATGTCACCCGGATGATCTCAGAATCTCCAAGCCATGAATTTAAATGAACATGATCCTAGATTGGTCATGTCTCCTAGGTACATGGCTAAAAGCAAATGTAAGCCCTCTTTGGAGAAAGACATTGTCATTCATTCCCATAAATAGTTTCTTAGTGACAATAGTACATGCCCAAAAGTAACAAAGCACACAAGAAAATAGGGCACTGTGTGTAAGAACAAGCTGAAATGACAGAGAGCAGGAGCAGACCCGTAAACATTTCATAGACTGGAATTATCGGATACAAATTTTTAAATATCAAGGGGGGGTGTGTGTGTGTGTGTGTGTGTGTGTGTAGAGAGAGAGAGAGAAGCAATTAGCTGTGGTTTTTTTCCGAGTCAGCTGGATTTTGAATACTTAAAATTTTTATTTTATTAAATAAATTTCATTTTGTCATTAATACAAATTTATTGTAATTAAATTTTACTTTTGCAAATTTTCACAAATTTTAAAATGAACATTTATTACTCGTTCCAGATAAAAGTGAGAGCTGTTACATAAAACTAAATAAATAAAAGCTAAATTAAACCCCTCTCATCCTCCACAGAAGTCTACTTAAAAAACCTGGTGATGGGAGCAGAAAGAGTAAGTGGCAGTGAGGAGGTTACCTAGCTCAGGCCATGCAGATTACAAGTTTTAATTTTTCCTCTCCTCAAACCTGCCTCCTAAGTCAGGCAAGCTAAGTGCTTCAAAGCTACTAAATGTGTGAAAGTCACCCCCCACCTCCCTGCCAGCACCTAAAGTTAGCCCCTTTCTTGGCATGCCGTCCAGTGCTCCTACCATCTGTCTCTCCTGGTTTGGGCTCATCTCTTCTCCAGTTCTCATGATATTTCTTGAGAGTAAATAGGAAAAAAGTTCCTGATATGTTGGATTTAATAGTTCAGATTCTAATTTTTCTTATCCTGACAGATGACTCTGAACATCCTTGGTAAAAGAAGAAATGTTGCACATCTTCTTTCTATAGGATAATGACACTTCTCTCTTCCAACTTCTAGAACTTCCCGGAACTTGCACAGTCACTATCATGAGGCCCCCCTGACCCGGAAGCACTATCAGGTCACCGGCTATGGCATAGTAAGTAAGCAACGGGGGTGTGAGCAGGATGTAAAAAGTTATGGGCCTTGGCTCAGGGTTGTGTGGTGGGATATCTCCTCCCCAGAATTCTGGAATGTTCCTGAGGATAAGAGGCTGCACAGGGAGTCTCTTAACATTTGGGAGGTTTTTGGCTAGGCTTGTTGTAGGAAAAGCAGCCTATGAAGTCTGTTTGTCTCCATCTCTCTCCTCACATAATAACCATGCCATTTACATGTTTTGATACTTAATAAATATCAAATATGAATACTATTTGGATCTCTTTTAAAATCACCTTGGACATAGAAAACAAGGACCCACAATATGGCCCCCGACGAACATGTATGTTTATCTTTTGCCAGATCCCAAGTTCTCATTGGCTTTATTTTAAGTATCACTTCCCTGTTCTGCAGCTTTTGTATTTTACTACCTCAAAGAGATGCAGCTAATAGAGTAAAAGCTCTATGAGTACTTATGGCTTTGGGAGTAACTGAAGACAAAAACTACTAGTGGAAAACTGTATACAGATTCTGGCCTTCAGGTGGATTTCCCAGCCCTCTTTCTGTTTGCTTATCCCACATTGTGCTAGGTCAAGACTGTGAATGTTCTGATCTTCTTTGTGGGCATCTTCTGAGAAGAATTAGACATACACGTCTTAATCTCCAAAGTGCGATAGCCAGGCCAGACCTTTCTGGCTTAGATGAGTGAGTACCTAGATGGCCAAGGTAATGGATGCAAATGGCCCAGATCTGTTTCTGTTGGCTCAGAGTGATGTCTTGAGTTTGATTGAAGGGCAAAGACATCTATTTAGAACTTGAACTCCAGTTCTATGAAGTGAAGAGTTGGACTTCTGGTTCCAGGGGTCATACTACTGTGTTTTGGTTGTAATAGTGAGTTTTGGGACAATGCCAGTCACCTGGGATATTTCTTTGGCCTTCTTGTAACCTCGCCCATCTCTATCATTGAGCCCGATTTGGTCTTTGACCTTCATAACATGGTGGCATCTGAAGGTGGCCATTTCCCTTTCTGACATATTTTCTCTAAAGTCCCCTCACTTTCTTTGTATTTTTTTCTTGGTTTTTGTGGCAGAATGGAACAGGGGACTCAAATGATTTCTGGCGGATTGAGGTTGTAAACAGAAAATTTGGAAACCGGATCAAAGTGCTGAGAAGTCGAATTCGCCTCATCCATTTGGTCACAGGTTGTGTCCTGGGCTCCTCGGGAAAGGTTCTGCCCAAGTGGTAAGTCTCTAGGGTTTTGCTGTCCCAATCAAGGGTCCTGATTTTCCTTTCACTCTACAAGGAGTATGCCAGAAGCTTTTCGTTTTCCCGTGTTCGCCTCCTGTCTGCTTGTTCTTAGTGGCAGATGGAGGGAGAATAGGCATCGGGTGTATTATGGAGCACAGAACTCCAGGGCAGCTTTGGTGTTTTATGTGTTCTGATAGTTCAACATTTTCACATCTGGCTGGTGCTAATAACTCTCTGGGTCTATGTCTCTTTCAAAAATGGGACTACTGTATGCTGGACTATCCTAGGATAGTTGTCCAACATGGAACATGAAGAAATAATGGCCACCAGGTGGAAAAGAGAAGGAGCCTGTGGATTTAAGAGCAGAAGACAGTGCTGCTCTCTGCTGGATTTCAGGTCTTCTGAGAGACATCTGTGACTTCTGCTTTTCACAGGGGCTGGGAGCAGTTGGAAGTTACTTGCACCCCATACCTGAAAGAAACCCTCAACTCCATCTGGAATGTGGAGGACCATATCAATCCCAAGTGTGAGTGAGGTCACTTTCTGGGCTGGCTCTGGAGGGAAACATGTATAAGAAATCCTTATCTTAGAAAAGTAAGCGTTTGTAGACTCTGCTATCCCTTCAACTTGCTGCTGTTTGTTCCTTGTTAACACTCTTTCTGGAGTTGTCTGTACCTACATAGCATACTCCTTTCCTTCTCATCTACTCCCTCCGTAAACTCCTCTCTGTAAAGTGGCCAGTGGCCATCTGCAGGCCCATCTGTCTCGTCTGCCTCTGGGCTCCTCTCTCCCCTGCACCATGGGCACCTCCCCAGCCTCCAGGCTTGGAGCAAGCTGGTACTTTCCCTTTATGCCTCAGTGTAGAGTCGCTTCCCCGTCCCCCACATATCCAGCCAACGCTTTTATAGAAAGTGACAAGCACAACCCTAATCTGTGCCCCACTCTCTACACCCAAGCTCCAATTTGATATTTCCACTGCATTGTCAGCTTCAACTCAGAAAGTATTTGGATTCATCATCTGTTTTCCTAAACTACCCACCTCAAGCTTATGTGTGCCTTCATTTTGTTCTTCCCACCCAATCTAGCCAAACCCACTAATCAACTAATTCAACAACTCTTGTATCAAGTATGCCAGGAACCATGTGGGGCCCTGTGGACATATTGGTGAGGAGACAGACTTGGTCCTTGTCCCGATCGCAACTGCTCCAGTGGTCCAGAATGATTCATTCCTCATTCCCAGGCCCTTCAAAGGGCCACAGTGACCGGGGGCTGTGCAGCTGTCCCTTATGCCTAATAGGAGAGCAGCATTTGAGCCAGTACCACAGTGAAAAGTGATGGTGCTGAGAGCTGTCGGAGTACCAAGCAGGTGAAGCCTCCTTGTCTGTTTCCTTTGCATTTCTCAGAATGCCTGATGAGTTCTTCATACAGCTAAGTAGATGATCAAGAATTGGGCCAAGCTTTCTTCTGTCTCTTCAACAGTTGTCAACTTGTCAGCAAGGTTGCACTTGTATTCTGGTGGGAATGTGGGTACCATGGACAGACTGAGGAAAGAATGTATGACAAAGGCTTTTCTCCTGCCTTTTTTTCCCCTAGTGCCAAACATCAGCCTGAATGTGCTGCAGCCCAGTTTTCCTGAGATCTTGCTAGAATCCCACATGGTCATGATCCGGGTATGTGTCCCCTTCTCATTTCATGGCATCTCTAAGAGCTTTTGGGCAGCCATGACTTTGGATCACAAGTCAATGCCATGCTACAGATCCATTCCCCCTTGTGGAGGAATTTGAAAGCATCTTCGCTATGGCTTTCCGTGATCCTCAAAGGCATTTCCCTCACCACAGAATGAGGATGGTGGTGATGTTGATGATACCAGTGAATGCTTGTACAGCTCATGCCAGGCACTACGTGAAGCACTGTACATTTATCAACTCATCTGATACTTATTACAATCATTTGGAGGTTGCTGTCATTCCCAGTTACAGGAGAGGGAACTGAGGTACAGAGAGGTCGGGGAACTTGCCCAGGATCACACAGCTAAGTGTAGGCGGGAGATCCAGCCCTCAGAGCCAGGCTGGTAGGCTTTTAGTGTTACTGCTAGTTACCACTACACTCCTCCACCTCTAAGTGATCTGTAAATCTGTCCAAGTGGCAGAGCCCCTGAAAATCATAGTGCTCTTAGTTGAAGATCATGAGATACTGATAGTTCATTCCATCATATGAAATCAGGATCAGTTAGGATGGATAGCTAATTTGAGTGTGTTGTTTATACGCAGCATGAAATCCCAGCCACAAGCCCACTCATATTCCTGGACAGAAACTGCTTAGGCGGGGCATGGTTGATTCTTTTTTAAGATTTTCGAAGACATTGTTTGCGCTGTCTATCATTAGTGGCTGACAGCAGTTGTAGCATCAAAGGTTTAAGAAAAATTCAGAGAAGAAATCTTTAAATTGAGAAAATTCTACTCACTAGCTTAAATTTTCCCCGGCTGTCATCCTGCTGTTTAGTGGAAGAGCCCCTTATTCTGGCTTATGGAAAACCTGTGTTCTGCAGGAATAATGTTTAAGAATCACTATCTCAAGCCAGCTCTGTGATTATCCCTCTACCCACAGCACTGCAGGGAGGTGGAGCGCTTGTTATTTTTCCCCTGGTAAGCCACTGTCGAGTGGACTTTCCTGGAAGTGATTATGTAAGCAGTACTCAGGAAATATAGTTGACTTATTTCACCAGATTAAATTTTTAAAATTGAAATTTTGTCATTTTTGCACATTGGGAGGTGATGAGTTGACATTAAGCATCTCTGGGTCACTTCCTCTCTGACTCTCTGCTTGTAGCTGTCACTGTGGCCTGACGGCTTAGCTCTTTTGAACATGTGCCTGTCAGAATATCATTCTGGGCCTGGGTCAAATTTTAAGACTAAATCTAGGAATTTCATTTTGTCTTTCATCATCTAAGAAGTAGAGTCAGAGAAGAAAAGGGAAATAGGAGAGCTTTCTTATTCGGCCAACAAAGAGTCAGGGAGGGGAAAGAGATGAGAACACTGAGTCCAGACTACAGAAACTGCAGGGGCAGGGCTCTTCTGCCGGCTGAGTAGTGGCCCGGGACCTGGAGGAGAAGGCTGCCTTGCCTGGTGCAGTTGCAGGAGTGAGCCCATCCAGATTTCAGCCATAGAGAACAACTTACAAGTACATATGCCTGTGAAGGTTGCAGATTTTTCTTTCCTCTCTCTCTTAGTTTAGCAACAGAGCAGGATTTCTCAGAGTTTAATGTAGTGAATAAGATTCCCTTGGCTTGGTACAGTTCTGACAGGAGTCCTTGGGTTTGGGACCAAACTGTACAATGTGAAGGAACTGGTTTCCCTCAGCAGCTGCTCCAGGGGTCCAGAATGATTCATTCCTCATTCCCAGGTCCTTCAAAGGGCCACAGTGACTCAGGGACTGTGCAGCTGTCCCCTTTGTGTCTGATGTCCCCAGTGCACTTTTGACCTTGGAGGCACAACCTCTCCACCATGCAGAGGCCTGTAAAATCTTCCCATCCCCTTGACAAACTGGATTCCTAAGGCACTGGGTGACAGTCCACTGAACTTTCTGGATCTTTCTTAGGCTATCCCAGTGGTTCTCAGTTGAGGGCGATTTTGCCTCTCGGGACTTTTGGCTATGTCTGGAGAAATTTTTGGCTGGGAAACGGAGGGGCTGAGGGTAGGAGTGCTACTGGCATTCAGTGAGTGGAGGCCAGGAATGCTAAACACTCTACAATGCACAGGACAGTCCTCACAACAAAGACTCTTCAGCGCGAAATGTCGGGAGTGCTGAGGCGGAGAAGCTCCGGCCTAAGTCATGGCAGCTGACTCCCCTTCCGGGGAAAGGCCTTTCCAGTCTGTCCCAGTGATGAGGCTGACCCCAGTCCTAGTGGTTAAAATCCCGGATCCTGACCCTACTCCTTCCTGTTTTAGCAAAGACCTGGTTTGCCCTGTAGAGACAGGTTAGCAGATGTTCTTGGCTGCTGGATTAGGGAGGCTGTGTCTGGGTCCTTCAAAGCATGCATTGGGGTTGATTTCTCTCCCAGTAGATGAAATGTGTTCTTGGAGGGAAAAAAAAAAAAAAAAAGCCAAACTTATTTTTTATGTATATAGCACAAGTGAGATGTACAGTATAAAGTATTAAAATGTCATGGCGGATGTTTAGGGAAACACTTGTCTAGAAGCGCTCCTGGTAGAGGGGCAGTAGTGGGAAAAAATGGTGGAGAAACACTAGGCTAACGTAACCTCTTCCAAGTCTAGGCATGCATGAGAGTTTCCACTTTTCTATTTGAAATTGGCCCCTGAAGGGAACAAATAAGTAAGCCTTATTTTTAAAAAAATTTTTTAAATTTTTTTTTGAGACTGAGTCTTGGTCTTTTTGCCCAGGTTGGAGTGCAATGGTGTGATCTCGGCTCACTGCAACCTCCACCTCTCGGGTTCAAGTGATTCTCCTGCCTCAGCCTCCCGAGTGGCTGGGATTACAGGCACCCACCACTACGCTCAGCTAATTTTTTGTATTTTTTAGTAAAGATGGGGTTTCACCATGTTGGCCAGGCTGGTCTCGAACTCCTGACCTCAGGTGGTCCACCCACCTCGGCCTCCCAAAGTGCTGGGATTACAGGCATGAGCCACTGTGCCTGGCAGTAAGCCTCATTTTATATCCCCTCTCCGATCATTTTCACACCTTGTCCTTGGCTTGGCAGATGGGTATATATTTTGTGCCCATTGGAACAATTTCCTCATTCCCCTTTCCCTTCTTTTTCCCTAGCGTAGAGGGTTGGAATGGACCCCTTATGGGAAATGGAGGCTTGTTTGGGAGAAGTAAAGCAATTGTTGTAGGCAGGCAGACAGTGGCTGCAAATGATCCCTGATTCTTCTCTGCAAGGGAAGGGAAGAAGAGAAGGTTGTGCTCGGCGCTTGGCCCTGTATCAGAGAAACCTGGGCCTCACATTCCTGTCAGCCCTCCAGATCTCCGTCTTGACTAGCTTTTCTTTGCTACCTTCATGCAGGGGAACAGTGGCCTCAAACCCAAGGACAATGAGTTCACATCCAAACCCTGGCACTGGCCTATCAACTATCAGGTAGGATCCGAGGCTGGGGCTCCTCCCAGGAAATGGAGCCAAGAACGAGACCAGGGAGACGGGTGGAGGTGGGGGTGGGTGTGCTAGGGCAGGCAGATCCTGGGATGGGTTGGCCAGAGGCAGGGCTCTGTTTTCTGCCCTAATTCTGACCCTGCCTTCCCAGAGAGCTCATGTAGAATTTGCATAGCCTGAGCCTCATGTCCAGCCTCCCTATCTGTGAAGGAAGACCATCTTCCTCCCCCTAATGGGTGTGGCCAGGCATGGGCTGGACCTGGGTCAGCAGGGTGATCTCCGTTCCACAGGGCCTACGCTTCTCAGGGATCAATGACACAGACTTCCGAGTCTATCTGCTTGGCAACCCGGTGAGTGCCTAAACATTCCTGGCTCAGGCCCTGGAGCACTTGGCCATGGAGAGTGGCTGCGTTCTCATCTGCCCGTTCCCATTTCTGCACAGGTGGTTTGGTGGCTGAATCTGTTGAGCATCGCCCTCTACCTCCTCTCAGGGAGCATCATTGCTATAGCCATACAGAGAGGGGCACAGCTGCCAGCGGAGGTTGCAGGTCAGGTCCCCTGGGGCTCTCCCTCCCCTGACCTGGTGGTAGCAGAGCGCCTGCACCCCTGGGGAGGGCCGGCTGCCTGCTGATGGGCCATCCTTTATGTTTACCACCCCACACCTTCCCTTATCCTTTGCTTTTGAAAGCTAACGACCCCCAAGTACCCAGTGCTGTGTTAAACACTTTACTTCCTCCCAACAACCCTAGAGCGTTGGCAATTATGACCCCCATTTTATGGATTAGGAAACCAAGGAACCAAGAGATTAAGAAACTTGTCCCAGGATATACAGCTAGTAAGTGATAGAGCTGAGGCTCAAACCCGTGCAGTCTGACTCCACCGCCCTCACTTTTAGCCCCATGCTATGTACACAGCTGCCCATCTTTTCTCTTCTGTCACCTCCTTGTTCCATGGCCCTGTCCTCTCTAGCCCAGAGAGGAGCCTCCAGGGTTATTGGGTTCCCATCCCAGTGCTGTTCTTGGTAACTCTGGCTGCCAGACCATGGGCCACAGCACCTGAGACAGTCACACAGGCCCTTTTGCCTCTGCAGCTGTCTGTCTGAACAGTCATAGTCCCAGACACCCCCTCACTCCATCCTCACCTGTGACCTCACCTTAACGCTTGTCTGCCGCTGCAAAGATCTGTGTGGCAGCAAAGATGTGGGAGGTGGAAGTAGGGAGTGAAGCTGTCTGCAGGTGTAGAGGGGTTTCTTTAGAGGCTGGGCTGCCTCCTGCTGGTGCTTGGTGTACCTGCCATTGGTGCTCAGGCCTCACTAGGCTGGACCCTGACCAGAGTTCTCAAGCTCCAGCTTCTCTTCTTCCAGTTCCTGTAGCGTGGTTTGGGTTGGTCCAATGAGGTGATGTGACATATTCAAGGTCACACAGCAAGGAAGGGGCAGAGCTGGACCACAGCCTGGAATCTCTGCCCACTCCTTGTCTTCTGACCGGGCTGTGCTGCTTGGGCCCAGGGTTGTCCCAGGTCCTGCTGCGAGGAGGCGGCCAGGTCCTGCTCGGCTGGACACTCCATTACTTCCCGTTCTTCCTGATGGGCCGGGTCCTCTACTTCCACCACTACTTCCCAGCCATGCTCTTCTCAAGCATGTTGACAGGTCAGTGCCACCCACCTGGACTTGGGAGACAGAGCAGGTGGAGGGGGGGCCACTGTGGGGCAGCAGTGCTGGGAGTGACTCTCTGCTCCTTGACTTGGAGTGGCTCCTTCTTCTGTAGCCCAGAAGTCATCCCCTGCCTGGCTGACTCCAGGTTTCTCTCCTCTCCTCTGCTCTAGGCATTCTGTGGGACACCCTCCTGCGGCTCTGTGCCTGGGGCTTGGCCTCTTGGCCCCTGGCAAGAGGCATACACGTGGTGGGAATCCTGAGCCTGCTCCTGGGAACCGCCTACAGGTGAGCATCCCTGCACCTCACGTGCCCTCCCAGTGCGGGCTCAGTGGTGCCTCAGCCCTGATGCATTCAAGAATTCCCTGTGGTGCTTTTAACACCACCAGTGCCCATGCCCAGAGGTTCCGCTTCACCCCGGCCCAGGTGGGGCCATGGCTTCCAGAGTGCCCCAGGTGATCCTAATGTGCAGCCAGGTAGGAGAAGCAGGGCTTAATCTGCCTTTTCCCCTTTTGCTGGTGGTTCAGCTTTTGTGCCATCCCAGCACACCTGGAAGGGTACCCCTCTAGTCACAGTGACTCCCTGCCAAAACAGCTCCCAGAGGGGGAGGGTGGGAATGGGGGGCAGGGTACCCCTCTTTAGTCACCATGCCCCCCTGTCGGAACAGCTCTTGGGGTGGGGGGGGACTGGGTGGCAATGGGAGACAGGGTACCCCTCTTTAGTCACCATGCCCCCCTGTCGGAACAGCTCTTGGGGTGGGGGGGGACTGGGTGGCAATGGGAGACAGGGTACCCCTCTTTAGTCACTGTGGCTCCCTGCTGGAACAGCTCTTGGCGGGTGGGGTGGGAAGGGTGGGAATGGGGAGTGTGGGGCTGAGTGGCTGGAAGGGAGAGTTGTTTGGAAGTCTCCCCAGTTCCCCACTTGGTGCTGGGCCTGTGACCTGTGAGCACATGCCTGCCTAAGAGGGCTACATTTACATGTTGACAAACACTCCGGGCCAAATAGCCCATAACGAGACCCCTAGAAGGGTTGCCCTCCTGGGCCTCTTGGGAAGAGCCCTTTCCACGATTATCACTGAGTCAGCATCTACTAAGCTGTCCAGCTACAGTGTGCCCAGCGGGACTCAGACAGACAAGGCCATGAAAGAGAACCGGGCTTGGCGATGGGGAATTTCTCCGGAGCTCCAGCAGGAGGAATGGAATTCAAAGCCCCTCAGCTGAGGCACTGGGGGTGCCAACTGCTTCCTGCTGGTTCTCTCTCACAGCTTCTACCTCTTCCACCCTCTGGCTTACGGGATGGTTGGTCCCCTGGCCCAGGACCCCCAAAGTCCGATGGCAGGACTAAGGTGGCTAGACTCATGGGACTTTTGAGGCCACTGCAAAGATTCCATCCTGGGGCCAGGACTTCCCAGGAGAGCCAGCTGGGGAGCAGTACTGGACCTTTCCAGCTGTGAGGAAGCTGCCTAAGGAGCCTGAAGAATTCTGCCCACCAGGACCCAGCTCTGGCAGTGCAGCGGGAATGGAACCCAGCATTGGAGAGAGCCGGGAGAGAGCCGCAGCTCCGTCCACAGCACCACAGAACCACAGAGAGGACGGCACCTCTCAGGCTGCTCCCTCGTGCACAGCGCGGGGGAGGACGGGTGCCAGAGGGTGGGTGTGGGGGTGTGTGTGTGTATGTGAGGGCACATTGTCCATATCCCTGTGGAATACAGGCCATGTAACTGTGGACAGCTGAGTGTCATAAACTAAAATAGTCCAGGCTACAGTATTTTCTGGTATTTTTTTCATGTTGGATTTCTTTGGTTTTAGTTTGTAAGATCCATCAAAAATTCTCAGACCTCTAAGAGGGCCTTGAGGGCAGAGAATACTGACCTCACCTTGGGATGTCACCAAAGGCAGAGCAGATGGGACTGTCAAAGTTGTGCTGCCCTCCCTCCCACAAACAGATGAATCCAGCATGGAGAAAGGCGCACCGCCCCGAGCTGGAGGGCCTGGCTCCCACCACGCCCCCAGTGGCTGCAGGTAGCTGGACTTCCTGCCCGTGACGCACAGAGAGCACCGGACTCCGGAGCCTCAGCCTGCCTTAGTCCTTGGTTCCTCGTTTTTTGGGATTGTCACACTGTGAGACTCAGAGGAGGAATGATGTCCTATCCTGGGCTGCTCAGTGTTTCCAGGCCCCATGTGCCAGAGGCCGGGTCTCTCCAGGTGCATCTGGCCTGGCTTGGAGGGCAAGGCAGATGCATTCTCCTGGCTGCTGGGAGAGCCCTTGGGAACCTTGCTTAGCGCCCAAGGTAGATGAGAGACAGGACAGGGAATCTGCGTGGTGCTGGGGTATGGGGACTCTGGCCTCTCCAGACTAATGTTCCTGTCACCTGCTGAGCTTTCCCAGTGTCACTTCTACAGTCCTCCTCTGCTCACCCCTCCCTCACTCTGTGGGCAATTCCCTTTCTCTCTGTCACTGCTGCAGCAATGAAGACCCACGGCACCTAGAAATGCATCCCAGCTTCCTGCGTCTACCACGCTGCAGCTCGAACAAGAAGCTCAGAGCTGCCCCTTCCACTTCCTCCCCGAAAGGGATGAAGAAAACCCTGTGGTAGAACCAAACCACCCAAGGCCAGCCCTTCAGCCTGCCTCCTCCTTCCTGGTGCATGACAACATATTTCTTTTGTCTCAGAGGACTTTGATGCTTCAAGATTTAATGATGAATCTGCCACACTCCATTTTCCCCCCTCTGTAGCTCCCAACAACTCTGACAGGGTCAGATCTCTTTAAAACATCTTCAGGAGATGGTTGCCACGGAGACTGGATATTGGTCCCAGGGACAGGCTGTGCTACCTACTGGGTGGTGGGGAGGGAAGCTTCTGGCCATGCTTGGACATTCAAACCAACCATCATTAATGTTAATAGAGGAAATGCAGCAACATCAAAAGCAAGGCAGGTTGGTTAATTAGATCTGGGGCCTGATGACCTCCCTCTCCCACCGCTACAGCCCTTTTGACTTCCCCCAGCAGGAAGCGCTGTCTGTGCGGCTGAGTCTGGGCTGCCTGCTTAATTGCATTTCTGGCAGGGAAGGAGAGGAGGGATGGAGAAGCTCTGCTCCCTGCTTCCACCTCACCATGTTTCCTCCCCTCCCCTCCCTTCCTCTCCTCCCCACAGGCAGAACTGCTTTCTTCTGAGCTGGGTGGGCTCTCCTGCAGGTAGAATGCAGGGATCTGTGCTTGGCTCTTAGCAAAGCAGGTGGCCCACAGTGACCTCCAGGAGGTGGCTGATTTTCCTTTGTGCCTTCTTGTTTCTCAGTAGGAACTTGGAAAGGAGGAGCTCTGAAGGAGCCAGAGGGGCAGCCACCCCGCATGAGGGTGAGGAAGGAGAAGCCCAGCAGCCTCTATCCATCCCTCCCTCCCAGTTAGGCTGCACTGGGGCCGAACGCTTCCCTGGGCTCCCACTGCCTTCTAAGGAGTCAAGGAGAATTTCCTGCCCACTTTCTCTTCCTCCATGCCCAAACTGACAGGTGCTTCTCTGGGGGCAAGGTCACATGGGTTGATGTAGCTTTGAGTGCTGAGGTTCTGTTTTCTGCAAGATGCTGGAGAAAGGCTGTCAGGGTGCTTCTCTGAATATGGGCTTTAGCCTTAGCACTGGCAGAAACATGATGTGTCCCACAAACCGCTGGTAGAGGAAGATGTTCGTTAGTCAGTTCAACCTCCATCCAGCTTCTTGAGCCTATTTGGTTTAAAAAAAAAAAAAAAAGGCTTCTAATCAGAAGCCACTGACTTTTATAATAAATAGCAGTTGTTTTGAATGCCTTGTTGTCCTTGTACTTAATTGAATCTGACTTGCCCTCTGGCTCCCAGAAAGGCCTCCCTGAGAAGAATGTTTTGAGTGCAGGAACCACCCTGTGTGTCATGTCTGAGGCTGATCTAATTCCAGCAGAGGCCCTGGGCTGGGCAGGTGAGCCTGATTACTCCAGGGGGCATTTGGACCTCCCCATGTATACAGTTATTTGAGTAATGTTGGTTGTCATTTTGGTATATTTCAACTGACTCCAAAATAAATAGGAAGCTGGACCTCTGATTTGTCCTCTTTCAACCTGCTCACACGGCATAGAAAGGAGTGCAAGAAGAGGTACAGTTGTCCCCTTCCCAGACAGCCGAGTGTCCCAGCACTGGAGCAACTTGCCATTCTGCCTAACAGAGTCCCGCATCTTGACAGGGGTCTCCTGTTATGAGGAGTGATGCTAAGGATCTGAAGGCAGCAGGAGCTGACCTGAGTGTTGGACAGAGAGTGGGGGAGGGGAGCAGCACTGTGCTGTGGAACTGGGGGGCTTCTGGACTGCCTAGCCACCCTCTGGTGGGGGCTGGTGGGGAGAGAGGGGTATGTGGGTCTTCAGGAGGTGGAACATGCCTACGACAGGCAGGTTAGGAAGGGGCCAAGTGGCTCTTCCTTGAGTGGCACAGCTTCGTTTACAAAGTCTCAACACATCTCTGACATTGAATCCTCATAAAGGCCCAGTGAAGTCGATGATGTTTCTGTGCCCGTTCTACCCATGAGAGATTAAGTGACTTGCCTTAAGGTCTCGCGATGGGTAAATAGTAGAGCCAGGACTCAGTGCCAAGTTGGGGTTTTTTTGCCTCTCTAGTCTGGTCCTGGGACTAGAAGCACCTTCCCAGAACAGCCTGGCAGCCCTCGATACCCGGGAGAGAAGGCGTGAGCACTCAGCCCGAGGTCCCTGAGCAGCACCTTCCCATGGGCCTTCTGCTTAATGCGTCGGCAGCCGCTCATCTAGGGCCCAGGTTTTCCAGGCTCTCCCAGGTGCACCCAGATCAGTGTGTGCTGGTAGATGTTTAACAACAGGTGTTCTGGGAGGAAAAACTGGTGTGTATAGCATTTGCCAATTTCCATGGTGTAAATATTCCCAGTATGTTCTTTTTTAAGCTACCAACTTGATGCCACTGAAGGAGAAGTTGGAAAAAGATGCGTACAGTTGGTTCTTGAAAGCCATATAAATGCTGGCTCCAGCACACTGCTGACCCAGACCTGGTGACCATGGCTTGGTCCGAACTATGGTGGGGCTCTTGGCCACAGCCCATTAAAGCAAGGGAGGCATGGAGGCCTACAGGATGGGAAAGAGAGACCTGAGGTCAAATCCTGGCCCCATTGCTTATTACCTATGTGACCTTGGGCTAGTTATTTAACCTCTTTGCCTCTGTTTCCTGAGCTGTAAAACGAGGGTATGATAAATAGCACCTACTTCATAGAGTTATTGTGAGGATGAAGAGAGGAAATGAAGTAGGGTGCCCAGAACAGTGTCTAGACATAAATGCCAGCTCTGTATTATTAATGATACATGGACCTCAGTGACCAGCACTGGCTCTGGGACAGTACTTGAACTCTCCTCTAGGTTCTTACCTCCTGGGCGGATGACCCACAGGGAGGAGACTCCTGTGACTTTTACCGAGCCCCTCAAATGTGGGCTCAGACCCTTGGTCTCCTGGTGGGGGGAATACATCACTCTCGTCGCTTAGGCCCATTCAGATTCTCAGGCCTTTCTTGAAGGAACCAGGGATAGAGTGCACTTACCTTGGCTTGTCTTACTTAGCACGTATCTCCTGGCTCTAGGAAGACAAAGAGTGAAGCCATGGTTTGAGTGCTGACTCCACTTACTAGCTAGGTCCATTAACCCCCACTACCTCATCAGACTCCAGACCATGGCCAGAGGAGAGAGGAAGCAAGATGGGTCCTAAGTGTAGACTGCTGGCAAGAAGCGCAAGCTGGGTAGAGTGGAGTATCTTAGACCAGCCAGGTGGCCTGCACAGAGCACTGAGCATCTGGGCACTGAAGAGTGAAGCTCACCAGTGACACATGGCCTTGCCCTGTGACCTGTTGCACCTGGCTGCAGGTCCACAAGATCCCAAGCTGGAAGTCTAATCACGTCTTGTCCCTTCAACCCACATCCCTTTGTGCCCTTGCTTGGAGACCTCCTGGACCTTAGGACATCAGCATTTCCAGGCTGCCTTACAGCCTTGCTCTCCTGCTCCAGCCCAGAGATTTGTGAGGAAATGGGAAATAGAATAGGGGATACCACAAACTCCTGAGTCCTCGGAAGAGGGAGAACAGCTACATGGTTTCCTGGGGCATGGCTGGGAGCAGGAAAGAAGAGTTCTGCTGAGGCACTCAGTTCTGATTCAGGGCCAGAAGGAGACATTTGCAAGACCAGGACTCACCACTCCATGTCTAACACAGGGCTGGGCATGGAGCCCCAGCTGTTCATAACCGGGGACTCGGGAACACCCACCTTCTATCCATGGACCCAAAGGAGGTGGACTAAAAGGCCCCAGAGGCCTCGCCACCCAACCCCCTTGCTGCACAACTGAGGAAACAGGCCCAGAGAGGTGTGGACAGACAGAGGAGATAGGCTTGGAGACCCCTGAGGGAATAATGAGAGAGAAATAAAGGTGAAATGGGCTTGCTCTCCCTAACCTGGGCCACCAGCACTGGGCTGGGCTCTGAGGAACTTCTGCTTTCAAACAGAAAAGTTTAGTTCTAATTGACAGTTGGCCAACTGCACACCCTGAGTGAGGAGCATGGATTCTATCATCTGAACTTCTACTGAAAAATTAAACAGTACTTCCATTAAAAAAAAAAAAAAAAAAGATTAAAAATCATGGAAGTGGGGAGGGCCCAGGGAGGGGAGAGGTGAAAAATTAAAATTAAAATTAAATCATGGAATGGTAGAATGTTAGAGCTGAACTCCCTCAAGATTCCACCCTGGCCAAGCAGAGCTGGGATTAGAACTTGATCTCAGGGATTTCTAAAGATGGAGTCTCAGAAAAACCCAGGCCTGGCTGGGAATGGCTGTGGTCTTGGCCCTGTCCCTACGGCTGAAAGCCCTGGTGGTCCCCAACGAGTGCTGGTGCCCTAGTCAGACCGAGAACTAGGCCCCTAGGCCGCCTCCCAGGCCTGACCTGCAGGCCAGGTGGGTGGCAAACTCAAATGCCTCCAGCAATGCGTGAGTTGAGGGGCCTGTGGAGAGGGGGCGCACGCAGCGCCTACCTGAGGCGACCAAATTCAACACAGTGCCCTCGGGGCTCGGGAGGAGAAACTGAGGCCTGGAGAGCCTCAGCGATGTCTCTTACGTTCTGCAGGCCGGGCCTTTCGCAGGCCACCAGGTCGTCGCTGGCCAGAGCGGCTGGCGGAGGGAGCGCGCGCCTTACTGGCCTGGAGGGGGCGGGGGCCGCGGCGGCTTTAAAGCGCCCAGCCCGGGCGTCGCGGGGCGGGGCGGCTCTCGCGGCTGCGGGGCGCCGGGCGCAGCGGCCGAGCGGGGTCCCCGGAAGCACAGCTGGGGTGCCTCCGCCTACGGCTGGCCGTGTGCCTCTTCTCTCCCGCGCCAGGGAAGGAGCGGCTGCGGCCCCCGCCGGGCGGAGGCACGGGGGGCGTACGGGGGGCGGAGGGGCCCGTCGCGGAGGAGATGGCGCGGCACGTGAGGTGACGGCGCCCGAGCCCCGAGGGTCCCAGCCACGCGCCCCGCGTCCCCGGGACAGCATGGAGCGCCCAGAGCCCGAGCTGATCCGGCAGAGCTGGCGGGCGGTGAGCCGCAGCCCGCTGGAGCACGGCACCGTCCTGTTCGCCAGGTGAGGGCGGCCCGAGCGCCCGGGGGTGCGGGTGGAGGTTGCCTTGGCGGGAAAGGGGTCACGCGGCAGGACCGGCCCCGAAGGAGGGAAAACTGGCCGCTGCCGGGGCTCTGGGGCGGCTGCCAGATGTGCGCCAGAGGAGCGGGGCGCGGCGACGGATGGCACAGCCCCTCTGCCTCTCTCTCAACCGTGGGCGCCTGTTGCCAACCAGCTCCGCACACCCGGCTCCCAGCGGGGCTCACCGGGCCGGGCGGGGTCTCCTCCCGCGGATCTCCACACATCTGGGCGGGTGGACCTCCGTCCTCGCGCGGGGCCTCCACCCCGCCTTGTGCCTCCTGCGTGTGACTGCAGGGGTGCACCCCGCTGCAGGTATCAGGGTACTGGGGTGCCCCGAGGGCCGGGGAGGGGAGGTGTGCGGGGCGAGCTCCTGCGCCCATGTCTGAGCTGTCTGGCTCCAGGTGTGTGGATTCCTGACAACCAACAAGACAAACCTTTCCGAGGAAAGAGCCAGAGAGCCGCCGGGGAAGGGGTGACAGATGCGGGAGCCTCACCGCAGGGGAGAAGGGTTGGGGGGTGCACAGGCCCCGGGGGGAAGGGAAGGCCAGTCTCCAACCTCAGCTCGCCGTCTCGGTAACCCCTCCGCCATCACCAACCTAGCACTGCTTTCCTCACCGTGGTGTTCCCAATCCTTGGCACCCTCGGGCAGCCCAGAACTTCTGCCCAGGTTTCCGCAAAACCGCCCCCAATACAAAAGGGGAAAAAATTCAGTTACCCGGTGAGACTTCCCAAATGCCAAGGAGAGCCTCTGCTTCTGCCTCCAGACTCCCCCAGCTCACTTTTTTCTCGGGCACCCGCTGTGGCTCCACTACATCCAAGCTGTGTGACTTTAGATGAGTTCTAGCCTCGCCGGGCTTCTGTTTTCTCCTCTGTAAAACTGGGGTAACAGTTGTACCCACTGCTTAGGATGGTGAGGAATACAGTTAAAAGTTAAGCACACGGAAAGTACTCAGCACGGGGTAGAGGGGGGGAAGAGAGAGAGAGAGAGAGAGAGAGCGAGAGCGAGCGCTCTCCACACAATGTAACTCCAGGTTTCCTGTTTGGGGACATCTTCCTGTCCCAAATCACATCCTTCAGCTATTCATCGAGAGGCTCCTGCGTGCCAGAGGCCCTG